ATCGGCGCTGGACCCCCTTCCCACACCCCTGCCGGCGCCTTCGGCGCCGCCGACGGCGCGCTCCGCGAGCTGGGCCAAGGGGTGTGGGGAGGGCGGCCCCGTGCCGACACAGGAGATGTGCTCATGCCTTTCTGTGTCCATCTGAGCTCGGTGGTGCTGGTCAGTTCCCCTGCCCCTGCCTCGGACGGAAGGTAGCGTAGGGGGAAATACACGTGGGGTGAAGAGAGGTGCACCCCTTCAGTCTGGGTGCCAGTGGGGCAGTTTCGGGCCCTCCAGGGCTGCTTAAGGGCCAGGTTCCTGCACCGCGACTGCCCCCCTCGTGCCCAGGCATCCGGCGATGTGATTCGTTCACTGCGCGGTTACAGGTCTCGACCACCTTCCCCTTGTGAAATTTGTTGTCCCTGACCAATGCTGCATGGCCCTTGTGGCCCGAGAAGGGGCCAAGAAACAGGAAGCCATGATCAGCAGCGCCAAGGTTGAAAAAGCTGCCATATCTCGCCGCGCCAGTTGTCCCGACGCGGGGCCTTGCGTCTTGGGGAGGGCGCCGCGTGCACCAGGGCAAACTCCGCTTTGGACACAAGCTTTGCGATGAGGTATGCCGCGGTGCCAGGCTCGTCGACTTGGGCGCGTTCAGAACAAACGGCGCGGCGACGTCTCGCCGGAGACCTGGGCTCGCATCCCCCCCGCCAGCTTCCGCCCGCTTGCCCCAAGGGCCCCATCCGATGGCGCCGCCGGCCGCAGCCCCGAGGGCGCGCGCGGTGCTGGCGGCGGCGCTGGCGCTCCCGGCCCTGCTCCGAGCCGCCTCCCCAGACCCCCGACGTCATGATTTTTTCATGACGTCGACCCCAAGCGGTCTGGACCCATTCCCCAGGACCGGTTTTTCATCCTGAGTCGTTTTTTGACGGTCCCGAGTGCCGGTAAGGGCCCCCAGAGGCCGAAAATCATGAAAAGCCTCCCGTCGTGATTTTTTCATGACTCGAGGGGGTCTGGGTCCGCCCCCCTCGGCTTCGCCGCGGGCCCGGGCGCCCGCCGCGGCGCCCTCGGCGCCGCGGGCGGCGCGCGGCCCGCGCGGCGCCGGGCGTCGCCCGGGGGACTCCCCGAGCGGCGTGGTCGGCGGGCCGCCCCCGGGGGAGGCCAGGCGGCGCCCGGAGGAGGCTCGGGCCGCGAGGCCCCCTCGCGGGGGCCCGCGGGGCCCGCGGGGCCGCGGGGCCCGCGGGCCCTCGGGGAGCGCGAGGGGCAGCGACGGCCGTGCGGACGCGGCGGCGAACTCCTCCTCCTCCTCCTCCTCCTCCTCCTCCTCCTCTCCTCCTGCTCCTCCTCCTGCTCCTCCTCCTTCTCCTCCTGCTCCTCCTGCTCCTGCTCCTCCTCCTCCTCCTCCTCCTCCTCCTCCTCCTCCTCCTCCTCCTCCTCCTCGGCCCCGGCGCGGGCGCCCCATCTGACCCCGAGGTGGGGCCGATAACGCCGGCGGCGGCCCCAGGATCGGCCGACGTCGAAGGATCTGCGTCGTCGGCAGGCCGCGACCGTTCCGCGGCCAGAGGATCCGCGCGGCGTCGGAGACCAGACGGCCCACGTCGTCGCGGCGTGAAAAGGGGGCCGGGGCGGAGGGCCTGCATGGCCGGCTCCCGGGACTCCTATGGGCCCCCTGGCTCTCGGCGTGGCTTGCCGACCACGTCTCCGTCGACGTGAACGACCCCATCTTCATCCCCACGCTGCTGTCCTCCATCGCGGGTATCGCGGTCGGAGCTGGCATGGCGGCGCTCACAGACGGGACGGCGAAGATGTCGCAGGCGCGAGGGAACGTCAGCGAGAGCCTGCAGGAGCAGCTGTCGGCGTCGGCGGGCATGGAGGACGTCGAGGCGGACGACTCCGGCAAGAAGGCGGACCTCGTCAACAAGATGCGGCAGGCCCAGGGGCTCGAGGTGATCGAGGTGAAGAAGAAGGAGGCCGTCGACGACGGCTGGTGAGCGGGGAGGCGCGCACCACTGCTTTCGTCTATAGGCCTCCCAGATGGGGTCGGAGTACAGTCGGGGCCCTGAAGAAGGAACCCTTTTGGTTGGGGAGGGGCTCCGCGTTCCTTAAGTGTCACAGCTTGCCTCAGGTGTTCCTTATGTTTTCGATGGGAGATCGAAGCTTAACTTATGGAGAAAAGGTGCCTCGTTTCTTGATTTAGGGTTCCTTAGGTCAACGCCCCGACTGTAAGATGGGGTCGGAGGATCGCGCCGCATCGCCGATGCATCGCCGATGCGACTCGATGCGGAGCCCGATGTTCTCTTCGCCAGCGTCGCACATGCATCGCCGACGTCGCCGATGCATCGCCGAGATGTCATCGATGCAGCAGGATCCTGCGACCCCATCCTACTCCGACCCCATCCGGGAGGCTTCTAGTTGGGCGATTTTCAGCCGCATGGTCGCCCCAGAGGCGCCGTTTTCGGGTGCTGCTCGAGAGGTCAATTTTCGTGGAGTTGTCTCAGGCTTGAACGCAGAGAGTGCTTGGCACCTGGCGATGGTAAACAGCAGTGCGTAGGGCATGTGTCGTGAGCATCCTTGCCATGCCATCTCCTGTGCGGCCTTCGACGGGGGGCATGTCCCGATGATAGGTGTGTGTGTGTGCCAGGAGATGGACGTTGCCCTGGCCGCATTTACAAAGCAGCGCCTCCTGATCAGCATCACCCACCTCACCGCCGCCCCCCTGTACTCCTGCTCCTCCACCGGCGCGCATCCCCCCCCAGACCTCGCCGCCCTCCCTGTGCCTTTGGGAATCTGGTGACGCTCCGCGTGCCCTGGCCGGCCCATCGAGAGGCGATGCCCGGGCAAGCTGCACGCATCGGGAGAGTTGTCGGGGCAGGCGGTGGATGGCAGCGAAGAGGGGCAGCCGTCAGGCCGAAGCTCGAGATCAGCCCGAGCACACCCGGGTGTGAGCCATAACCATAAAAAGCTTTGGCGGACCCCTGGATGTGGAAGTCTCCTGGAAGCCCATTCAATCAATATTGAAGCCCTCTCCCGCCCATGTTTGATGTCGTTGGGGCTCAAAAGCTTTGGCGGACCTCTGGATGTGGAAGCCTCCTGGAAGCCCACTTAGTCAATACTGAAACCCTCTCGGGCCCATGTTTGATGTCGTTGGGGCGCCCTTGGGGCCCTCTTTGGGGCCGTCGGGCCGTCCTCGGCCGATCCAGGAGGCCATCGATGAAAAAAGGGGCGGCGTTGATTTGCCAGGCCCCTTTTCGGAGCCCGAAGAATCGCCTCCTGGAGCGCCCTCGGGCGCTCTTGAGCCCATCTTGGCGTCCTACGGCTCTCTCTCTCTCTCTCTCTCTCTTTTCTCTCTTTTTTTTTTCTCTCTCTCTCTCTCTCTCTTTCTCATTTGAGCGATCTTGGAGTCATCTTGAGGCCTCAAAGGCCGATCGGAAGCGAAAACGCGAGAAGGCCAACATTTAAACGAGTGTGGATTCTAGGTTTGTGAAGGATTATGGCCTCTAGAGGCTCCGAGGCCAAGAGGCGCCATCTCAGGGCATGATGGAGGTATGCGGGACGCCAACCTGTGCGATCCTGGGGGCAAAGTTAATATACATGTTGTGTCATTCTGGCGCCGTTTTGGCAAACAAAGCCTCCCAAGGATGTCCTCGAGAAGCCTAAACCACTCAAACATCAGATGTTTTTTCCCGCCTGCACGCCATCATAACGCGCAGCCTCACGTCATAGTGTTATGGAAAAGAGATTGTGAAAGTTGTTGCCGACGCATGTGCAGCACGCATCCGAACAAAACAGTTACGGCCAACAATTGGGCTGCAAAATTACCCATGGCCGCCATAGAGACCGTGCGCGGCGGGACGTGGCTGGCTAGGCCGAAGTGCCATGCAAGAGGGAGGAACCCCCAAAACCCATCCGGTGAGGAGCAGACACCCCAAAACAGTGTTGTTCAACTGTTTTGGACGGCCGGAAGTGCGCGACTATGTCGCCACATCGTCCGCGCATGGGCGCATCTTGACCAGTGTTTGGCCATGTTTTTAAACATCCTATGTATTCGGGCGCGCGCACGCGAGAGGCCATTCTCCTCACTCTACGACCCATTTGTTTAATCCCATGTATTAATAATCCTATGTATCAAAAAAGTCCGTGTAATGTCCCACCCACCCCGCCCCCCAGGACAGGTCGCCTCCTGCGGCGCTCTCGGGGTCTCTTGGGGCCGTTTTTGGACTTCTTCTGGCCTCTCCTGGGGCCTTTCTTGGGCGGTCCTGCAGCCATCCTGTGGCCTCAGAGGCCAATCGGAAGGGACAAGGCGAGAGGGCCAAGGTCAAAGCAATTGGACAACCTCAGGTGGTTGAATGGTGTTAGCCTCCGGGGAGTCTAGTTCGGAGATTCCGTGCCCACTTGGAGCCAGCTTGTCGCCGTCGTCAGGCCTTTGAGAGCATGTTGGAAACAAAGTTGAAACGTCTTGGACTTTCGTACGCTATCTTGGAGACCATCTTGGATACCATCTTGGGCTATCTGGGGCCTTCGTGGGGCCATCTTGGACCCTCGACCACATCGCGAAATCCTGGTCACGACCCCAGGGGAGGGTGGAGGGAGAGGGGTCAAGTTCCCAATGGCAGCACCACAGGCTGTCTTGTACACTCCGACCCGCCCTCCTTCATGTGAGTAACATCCGAGACTCAGCCTGGGCAGAGGTCTCCATCGGATGGGATTATCGGTAGCCAGCACAGACGCCAAGTGCGCGATGCTTGCGAGGTGCGCCACGCGTGCCAGGTGCCCCCGGGGACCCAGGCGCGCCCCTTGAGCCAGGAGAGCCACGTGCGCCAAATGCACCCCATGCTCCAGCCGCTCTAAGCCGCCTACGCCCAGAGTACTGGTGGGATTTCCATGACGTGCGCACTATGGGGCACATCAGAGCAGACGTGCTGTCTTGAAGACGTGCCTCCCCACGATGCCCCTCTGATCGGCTGCTGAGCCTTAAAGACTCCTGAGTTCAGCGGGCAGGGGCGGTGCTCCCAGGGTGTCCGCCGAAGGCGCCAGACGTGTGCTACAGCTGGTGGATCCTGTCGGCGCTGACTTGCATCGACCGCGGCCACTGGATCGATGGCGACAAGTTGGCAGATTTCATCCATGCAGCGCAGGATCTGGAGGATCCTGGGTAGACAAAAAGACGATGCTTCGATCGAGGAGGAGGAGGAGGACGAGGAGGAGGAGGAGAGGGAGGAGGAGGAGGAGGAGGAGGAGAGTGAGGGGGGAGAAGGAGAAGGAGGAGGAGGAGGAGGAGGAGGAGGAGGAGGAGGAGGAAGGGGAGGAGGAGGAAGAGGAGGAGGAGGAGGAGGAGGAGGAGGGGTGAGAAGGAGATGGAGACTCGTGACGGCGGGTGCGACGGAGGGAGCAGCCCCCTGCTACATGGGTGATTCGTCCACGGTGGCGCAGACGGCGAGGAGGCAGGCCTTTTCAGAAGGTGGCGGGGCTTCTCGGAAGCCCGCGCGCCTTCTGAGAAGTTGCCTGCGCCTTCGTGCAATGCTTACACATCTTCCATCTGAGCCTTCTGAGGAGCCCCGCCCCCTCTGCCTTCCTTCATGGCTCGCTGTTCGCAGATGGGAGTTGTTTCCTGGGTGCTGGCCGTCACGACCGCGCAATCTGTCCCAGCCGCCAGTTTCTGAAGCGCCGTGCCCGGCCTGCTGCCACGTCACGCCATCGTCGCTCTGGCCTCTCCTGGCGGCGGCGTTGCTTGCGGTCCACCTCGGCCGCTGCCTGGGGGGCGAAGGGCTCCGCGTGCTTCTTATGCTGGGAGCCGATTGGTGGGTTTGCCGCCTCAGGCTTGCATGAATTTAGGGAGAGGGTCGGTGCGCTATCGGTTGCAGTGACGTGGCGCAGAGCGTGTCCCTCCTGTGCAGGCCCCGGCCCGTGGGGCTTGCCGAGGAGCGGTGGTGTGCGAGGTGGGGGCCACCCGTGGCAGACTTCGGAAGCCTGGCCAGACGATTGGCAGGCATTGAAGCATGCCTCACAGCGCCGTTATCACGATGGCGTGTACACAATTGGTCCACGGTTTCTCCAACATCAGTTCACATATAATTCGCCATTCAGCACTCGCGGTTCGCAGTATACTGAGACTCAACGGACAGATGGTCTACATGAAGCCCACAATATGTTTAGTTGTGATATCAATGTAAGAACAGACATCTGAGATCTAGCTGCCTGCGGCAAATCCCGCCACCGCGCTTGTGCAATAGCGCAGCAGCAAGGAGACTGAGTGGAGGAACAGCGCAATTCCGACGACCACTTCGAACTGGGACGGGTCGTGAATTCGACCTCGTCTTCGTTCACGCGGTAGGGAGGGAGGTCGAGTTCGTGCCCCGTTGCAGTTCATCGAGCAGTCTAAATTGAGGCGGGTCGTGAATTGGACCTCATCGTCGTCCGCTCGGTAAGGAGCCGGAGGAGGAGGAGAGTGAGAAAATGAAGAGAAGGAGGAGAATACTTCTTAGGGGCTCTCGTGGGGCCTCCTGGGAGCCTCGTGGAGGCCCCTTGGGGGCCTTTTGGGGGAGTCTTGGGGGTTCTTGTGGGCCGCGTGGGGCCTAATGGGCCGCCTCAAGGGACTCTTGGCCCGTCTGACGCCTTCGGAGGCTGTCTTGGGGGTCTCTCTGGGCCGCCTTGGTGCCCTCTCTGAGCGCTTCAGAGCCGTCCTAGGGCCATCTTGGGAGGCGCTTGGGCGATCTCGGGGTCCTCTGGGGCTGATTCGTGGCCGTCTTGAGGGGTCTCGTGGGCTGTCTTGGAGCTATTTTGGAGGCCTCGCCGCCTCGGGCGGTCAGAAGCCCAAAGATGTGAGAAAATCATTGTCTTGTGGGGGGAAAGAAGAAACAAACAAAGACACGCGGGAACAAAGAACAACGTGTTTCGCATCCTCGGGCTCTCTTGGAGGGCACCTTGGAGCCCTTTTCGCCCGTCTTGGGAGACTCGATCTGCCTTGTGGCTAGTTGTGAGCTTCGTATGCCGTCTTGGGCCGTCTTGGTGTCATCTTGGCTATCATGAAAGCCGTTGTCAGAGCCATCGTCGCCGTCTCGAGGCGGAAAAGAGCACCAGATTGTAAATTCAAGGGGGGCTCTGCACTGTGAGGGGCGCGCTGATTACGAGGGGGGTCGGCCATAGACAAAAATGCTACCCCAGGAAAGCACCTCGTCAACAGCATAGATGAAGAGGCGGGTGGAGGAGCGGGAGGTGGGCTAGTGACAGGGGCGGGAGCACGGCCTTGGGCCCCACTGGTGTATCAGTTACCAGGGAACGTGGCCGTGTGGATCAAGAATGTGGCCAGCACGGAGGCGCACGACGACGCGACTTGAAGAACAACGTGTATTTACGCGAGTCCCTGTGCGTCGGAGGGACGCCGCCCAGCAGCGGCGAGATTGCATGGAGTGGCTGCGCAACGAGCGCGGGATAGCTCGTGGCTTCGATGAGACGGATCTTGGCTCTCAGGCGAGAGCCAGATGCTTGGATACATGGTGTCGGCTACACGTAAGAGTGACCTTTCGCCGGGGTGACGTTTGGTGCGGGCCCAATGGGTCGCCCCGCTCGCCGAGCGCGATGCGATAGTAGCGTCTTGTGCACTTGTGTTTGGCCGCCCCGCGTCATCCCGCATCCCCCGCTGAGCCGCGCACCAAAGGTCACTCTTGCCCAGGGTCACTCTTGCGTGTGCAGCCGATGGTGAGGAAGCTTCAGGCGAGTCGGCTGCTGGACCCAACAATCCTCCTCCTCCTCCTCCTCCTCCTCCTCCTCCTCCTCCTCCTTCCACTCCTCCTCCTCCTCCTCCTCCTCCTCCTCCTCATCCGCCTCCGCCTCCGCCTCCGCCTCCGCCTCCTCCTCCATCTCCTCCATCTCCTCCTCCTCCTCCTCCTCCTCCTCCTCCTCCTCCTCCTTTTCCTCCTCCCACTCCTCCTCCTCCTCCTCCTCCTCCTCCTCCTCCCTCCTCCTCCTCCTCCTCCCTCCTCCTCCTCCTCCTCCTCCTCCTCCCCTCCTCCTCCTCCTCCTCCTCCTCCTCCTCCTCTTTCTCCTCCTCCTCTTGGCGGCGGTTCCAGGCTGCCCGTCCTCCTTGTGGGACGACTCTTCCTCTGTGGTCCGGTGCCACCACCTGCAGAAGCCGGCGACGAAGCGCGGGTCGGGAAGAGAACGTCCAGACCACAGACGAGGATTGTGGCACGCTCATTTCGTGCAGGCGCGGTGGCGGATGATTTAAAAGGAGTTGCAATCTAGTGCTCCGAGATTGTTCGGGAGAGATGTGCAAGTTATCGATCATGCATGTGCGCGTCGTTCCTAAATACCCCCCGACTCGAGACACCGCGACAGCTGCACGACGGCACAGGAGCAGGACGAATCCCCAATGTGGCGCGTTGAACGCACCCTGTCGTCACGCGCGCACCTCAAACACACACACACACACGACACGCCACGTACGACGCCAACACGAGGTCATGCTGGAAGCACCTTGTCATCACGCGCGTACCTCAAACACACGCGACATGCAAAGTACCACTCCAACACGATTTGAGCTTCGATGTCCTGGTCACAGGGGGGTCGCACAGAGGTTTCACGCCCCTGGCCCCCAACCCAGCAGTTGATTCTCCAGGCTACAGGTCCTCGGGAGCGTGGCATTGATGATGGGGCATGGGGAAAATTCGTGGGCTGCAGAACGGCCTCCCTGCATCGAATCATCGCATTCATTCCTTGACAGGACGGGGGCATCGCTGACCGCCCTGAAGATGTGGCTGATGTCTTCCACACGTTTTTTGGGTTGGCTGGTCTTTCCCTTCTTCGGAAAGCAGACCTGGCTCCAATCCACCCTGTGTACGCGCTGCCGGAAGAGGTCGTCGCGCGGATGAAGCTCCCTCCAATCATAGCTGCGTGTGACTACACAGCCTAAGGTTTCTAGGGCGATGAGAGTTGCGGCTTTGGCAAAGGCGACTGCAGAGCAATTCGCCAGGGCCCGCTCACCTTCAAACAATATCGAAGACGCCTACGGCGAATCACCGCCCTCCCTGCTTTTCAAAATACGCCTACGTGGCCAAACGCTTGGGCATAGCTTGGCCACGCTAGTGGACCACGCATTCCCCCAGGCGTTGTGGAAGCCCTTCGGGCAACGCGTGGGGAAGGAAGAGGAGGAGGAGGAGGAGGAGGAGGAGGAGGAGGAGGAGGAGGAGGAGGAGGAGATGGAGGAGGAGGAGGAGGAGGAGGAGGAGGAGGAGGAGGAGGAGGAGGAGGAGGAGGAGGAGGAGGAGGAGGAGGAGAGGGAGGAAACAGGAGAAACAGGGAAGAAGGAGGAGGAAGCCCCTTGAGAGCCTCTGGGGCCACTTTTGGGGCCTCATGGGAGTTTCCTGGGAGCCTTTGGAGGTCTCTTGGGGGCCTCCTTGGGTCTCTTGGGGGCCTTTTGGCGCTTCTTGGGGGGCCTCCTTTGGCTATCTTACCGCGTTCCTGGCCCGGCCTGACACCATCGGACGCCGTCTTGGATGCCTTGGAGCCTTCTTGGGGCGCTTCAGGGCCGTCTTGGAGGCCATCTTGGCCGTCTTGGGGGTCTCTTGGGCCGTGTTGGGGCGATCTTGCCAGCCTCTGGGGCCGTTTTGTGCCGTCGGAAGGCGGAAAAGAAGCCAAAGCCAAATTTTGCCGACACCCAAGGAACATCAATAATGTTCGCCTTTGTGGAGGACATCTTGGAGGCCTCTTTGGCCATCTTCGGGGCATCTTGGGCGCTTCTGGGGCCGTCTTGGGCTAATTGGGACCATCTTGGCGGTCTTGGAGGCATCTTGGGACCGTCGTGGAGGCGATCTTGGGGCTATCTTGTGGTTCATCTTGGGGCCATCTTGGCAGGAGGCCATCTTGGGGCCATGCTGAGCGGCAAGACCAGCGAGACACGCACACCGGCGCAATGGACCGACGCCCCGTGGGGAGTCCTAAACGAGAAACAAAACCACCCGAACCTCAGAACGCCGGGCACCCCTGTGAAAAGACCACAGGGGGCGGCGGATGACGGAGGGCGCGCGTAGCGTCGCGATCCGTCGGGAGAAATAACAAGGGGAGTGTGAGTCGGTTGGCTTCGGCGGCCCCAGATATCGGAAAGAGCGAGGTACGGGCGACGACGCTCTGGTGGGGCGAAGTCCTCTAGGGAGAGGTTCCTGGAGAGGGGCGATGCGCGGGCGAAGAGTCGAATGGCCAGCTTCCCTTTTCTTGCATAGTACGACACAGCTCCAGGGCGGCACCAATGGCCCGACTATTGATTTATTTTTGTGCATCTGCTCAAGGGCCCTAAGACGGCCCAAGAAGGCCCCAAAACGGCGCCAGAGGGCACCAAGACGGCCCAAGAGAGCCCCAAGAGAGCACAAAGAGGCTCTTAAGAGGGCCCCACGATGCCCCAGGGAAAGCTCCAAGACGGCCGAAGGTCTCCATGACGGGCCAAGGGGGCCCTGGGACGCCCGGAGTGGCCCCCAAGAGGTCCCCCAAGAGGGCCCACAGAGGCACAAATGATTGATTTTCCCGTGGTATTTGATCGTTTCGAGGGTTCTCTCCCAAGGGGGTCCCCAGAGGCCCCTAAGAGAGCTCGAAGACGGCCAAAGGCTTCCAATAAGTACGCCCCAAGACGGCCCAGAAGGCCCCAGGACGGCCTAAAAGGCAAAACGACACCCAGAGGGCCCCACAAAGACCCCAAAGAAGCCCCAGAGACTCCAAGTAGCACAATGGCTCCCCACTGCAACAGGTGACGAAGCAAGCTTTGAACACAAAGGCTCCCCAGAAAGCGGTGACGTAAAGGGCTCTCAACAACAAGTCTCCGAAGAGCGAGCGGCAACGTAAAAGTTTCTGAACACCGGGGCTCCCAACAGGACTTGTTTGGAAATCCCAGCGTTATCCCTGTGTGTGCGGGCAAATTGCTCCACAACCTATGTAAACTTGCATACATACACATCCTTGGGGCTCGGGCTGCACCGCCAAAACGTACCTCCCAGGACGGCGCCTTCAGGAAAATATATAGAAGCAAATGTGTTGTACGACATTCCGAGACACACACGGGACAATTCTTCGGGTTTCTGACACGTTGTCCCGGGCCGTACAAGTTCCCAGGAGCGAATGAAGCCGTGAGCCAGCTCGGTCCAGCTCCTGAAGCGCTCTTTCCGTGTTCGTGTTGGCCCAGGTAACGGAAAGAGCGAGGTACTATGACGTCCTTGTCGGGCGAATCCTTCTGGGGAGAATTTCTAGGGCAAGGGGTTAGGGTGGGCTGCAGGCATCCAATTCCAACCTTCCTTTTATTTTGTCGTGCGAAACAGGGCCCACGCGACAACACGCGACAAGCCCCAGCGCTCAAGAGTGCCCTGAACTCCAGGGTGCGGGCCCTTTAGAGAGCAGTGCAGTATTCAGTGCAGAGGACTAAGGGATCTGAGGACACTCCAACTCGTGCCTTGAGGCACGGTGGCGGATAGAATCACTAGTAGGAGCGCGCTGGCCTTCTTTGAGAAAGGCCCATGATGAGGGGTACAAGCGACGAGACAAATATCGGCGCTGATCTTGTCATTGACGCGTTGCCGCTACTGCCTACGCCACGGCCGCCCATTGCCTAATCGAAAAGTCACCAGGAGACAAAGGTCATTAATGTGGCCAAGGCGTGCAGTCCAGTATCATCACCCCCCCGCCATGCAACCGTCGAAGACCACAGAAGCAATTGAGAGGGGACCTTGAGGCACAAGCAAGAGTACCAACTAATTTGCCTTCTGGGCTAACTTATGCTCACTTGTTTCACGAAGAACGCTTGTAACTTATGTGCAGAAGGTGTTCGCGAGATTGCGTCCTTGCCCTTCTGGACTTCCTCAACAGTTGAAGCGGCGACACAAGAGAGAGGCACTGCTGGTTTATGCTGGAAGATCGTAGTCGAGCATCCACTCCGTTCAAGCAGGTTATGCGATGGCGATGTTGTTGTCCCCGTTGGTTGCACATGTTGTTCTGAAGTCTGCCCTCAGCGCCCCCGCGTGAGCAGGAGCATGAGATGAATTCGGTTTGCTGTTCTGAGGCCCGATGCGTTCGAGCACCCTGCGATGCGAGGGGCGTCCAGCAAATACAACAGCGACGGTGATGACAGTTGCGATGGTTGCGTGCAGGCCTTAAAAGGTGAGAATGTGACAGCTTGAGACGATAGTAGAGGCCCGACACCCATGGTGCTGCTACCGATCTCCACCGCTGTGATGAGCCGCCTCTCCTCCCCCGGCACACTTCCCCGCTGCTACGCTGAGGTCATGCGGCACCTTGGGAAGCTGAACGCGCAGAGCCTTGTTTTCCTGGTGCCGATGATCGTGCACTTGCGGTACTCTGGGGTGGGGCGGGGAGAGCTGCATGGTAGGCGAGCAATGCAATGTGGAGGGGAGTTGGACACCTAGTGCTGACACCAGCCCTGCCTTCCACGTGAACATACATACAAAACACATGCGCATGTCATGTTCAAAGGTGTACGCACTCGAAAGATCCCAAGGCTGGGGACCAGAAGCCAGTCGAGCAAAAGCCGAACACGTGGTGCAAACGTGATGGCATCAGGCTCCGGTGCGCAGCAGGAGAAAGAATGGAGGCACCTGTTCCGCTGGGTGCCTTTGTGGCGTCCCAGGAAAACAGGCGGGTTGGCAGCCCGATCGTCTCCACAGCTCGACGGGGCTGTGGGAGAGACTCTTGCCCTGTGGTTGGCCAGCCACAGTAGGTGCGGGCCCGCCGTACCACCCCTGAGAGGCCCGATGGGGTTACTCGAAGGGGTCCCCCGACGTGGGGGGCGCGGGAACTTAAGTCCTTGGGCAGCGGGGCCTCCGCTGCTTGAGGCCGGCGGCCAAGTGGGGGTGGTGCCGGTGGCCGTGTCTCGGGGTGGCATCTCGAGGCACCTCGCAACGGCGGCGCGGATAACGCCGGGGGCGGTCCGTGCCGCCGTTCGTGTTGCGAGGTCCGACTGCATGTGAATTCATGCAGGCACCTTGGGCACCTCCCTTCGGGTTGTGTCGCCCAGGTGTTCTGTCCGGGCACAAAAAGGAGAAAGAATGGGGGGGGCACGCCCGGTCCGCCTGCGGCAGACGTCAGCGAGCCGCGGCGTCTCGCATAGCCAGAGGGCTCGGCGGCACGGCATGCTCGGCCAAGTACTAGGCGTGCAGTTCGGGGAACTCTGCGTGAATGTGTGCCCTGGACGCCATCGGATTGTTCAGCCTGCCTCGTACGGCGTGACCCTGGCAGCGAGGCAGGAGCGTATTGCGCGAGTGGCGATGATGGCCGTGTACCTCATAGGCGTAAGGATCATTTACGGCTGGTTCGTGCGGCGTTGGCGCGCCAACGACGCCAGCGAAGGCGTTCAAGGTTGAATTCCGCGACGCGGAAGCACCGATGGACACGGTAACGCCATTGGACCCGACTAATTTCAATTTTGAGCGTTCGGGGCCGCGATCGATTCAAGGTTGAATGATCGACGCGGTGTCAGAAATCTTTGCGCGCGCCAACGCCGCACGAACCTGCCGTACCACACCTGTGGGATCTTGTTCAGAGGGCAAAGACACAACGCGGTGTCCGTTGCTTGCTCATCATAACTTCCATCATGCAATGGTGGGCGTGCTCAGGCAGCGAACAAAGATCAGTATTTGCGATTGTGACGCGAAGCTGCAAGGATGGGCTAATGAGCAGAAGGAAGAGGAGGAGTAGGAAACAGAAAAGCAGGAGGAGGAGGAGAATGAGGAGGAGGAGGAGGAGGCGGAGGCGGAGGCGGAGGCGGAGGCGGAGGAGGAGCCAATAAGTGTTGCTGGCCAGCTGGAAGGCCAGGCCGAACGTATGGGCCAGAACGTCAACGTAGGTGGAAGCGGCGGCCACCGCCAGAGCGGAGCGGGTACGGATGCGCGAGGCGGAATCACAGAGCGGTTGCCCAGGAGATGGCTCCCGCACCAAACAGACAAAGAGCCAGGGCAACTCCAAAGCATTCGAGCCCCTTGGGTTTCCGGCAGTCGCAAAAGTCTTCTCCGAGGGCACGGAGAAATCTCTGTATCAAGCGCAGGGCCAGATAGCCAATTCTCGAAGGCCGCTCCAGAACATACACGGAGATGTCCAATCGCCTGCCCAACATGTACGGAATTACGATTACCCGAGAAAGCAACCAAAGTTCGAGGTTGAGTTTTGTCTAAGAAGAAGCGTTGACGGTTGCTGCTGGTGCGGCATCGGCAGTTGAGATGGCAAGGTTGCGCGGTGCAGTTCCAAGCCCAGTTTGCGCAAACATATGTTGTGTGCGACCAGTGACAGCCTTCCGCGATGGCACCGCCACGTGAGCCGCCTGCGGCAGCCCTGCTCGGGCGTGGCCAGGGCAGGGATGACATCGCCCCAGCTCCTCCTCTTCCTCCTCCTCCTCCTCCTCCTCCTCCTCCTCCTCCTCCTCCGCCTCCTCCTCCTCCTCCAACTCGCCTCCCCCTCTCCCTCCTCCTCCTCCTCCTCCAACTCGCCTCCCCCTCACCCCCCCCTCCCTTGCGCACAGCGCGGCAGGTACCACGAGCGCGAGGGCGTGGTCGACAAGCTCAACGCCTTCTTCAAGGGCAAGCTGCGCAGGCCTGCCTCTTCGCTCCGCCGAGGGCGGGCGGGGCTGCCCACCGCTCTCGCCCACCCCCTCCGCGCCCCCAAGAGGAGGAGGAGGAGGAGGAGGAGGAGGAGGAGGAGGAGGAGGAGGAGGAGGAGGAGGAGGAGGAGGGGGAGGGGGAGGGGGAGGAGGAGGAGGAGGAGAAGGAGGAGGTGGAGGAGGAGCACAGCGTTGACGAACCGCCAGAAGCAGATACCCCGATTCCTCCTGGATTCTACGTTCCGAGCAGACTGATTCTCATGGCCTCCTCTTGGCCGCAATTGGGCCAGTGGGACTGCTCCAAGATTCTCTGACCCTTCCCCGTCCATCCCCCGCTGTTCCCCCCTCCCTCACCTCCGACCTCTCTCAGAGGTCGGCTGGGTCCCTCTCATCGCTCCCCCCCGCGCGGGGGGAACTGGCGCGCAAGTGCCGTTGGGTGGCCTTGGCCGCGCGGACTTGGGTGCGGCATGCGCGCGGCGAGGCTCCTGCTGAGTACGCCCCACAGGCACGAGGGCTCGGATCTCCAGTGAGGACGATCGGCCCGCATCCCTGTCGCGCTGGCCCAGAGGCCTACAAGCGGTGTGCGATCCCCCGCTGTCGCAGCCTAGTATAATCCCAGCCCTCCAGGAGGAGGAGGAGGAGGAGGAGGAGGAGGACCCCGCCCCCCCCATCCTTCCCTTACCCGTCTCCCCGACCCGCCGCCACCCTCACCGTTCTTCTCCGCTCCCCCCTTCTCGCCGCCGTCACAATCTCTCTCTCTCTCTCTCTCTCTCTCCCTCCGCCCCCAGTCACGCCCCCACA